GATGTTGAAATATTTGTGATGTGTCGATTCATTGGTCTGTTTCATATCAAATCCGCTCTCATATAAAGTGAAGTATTTCAAGTTTGAGGTCGAAAATATTGCTTGGGTCTTTCACAAGAGCCTATGCGTCATCAAATGCTCTCAGGATGAATCAAAAGTATATTTTTCCCTCACTGAATTAAGTGTATGTTTTGTATATTATGTACTTGATGAAGCATCCCAAATTCAACTTTCTTTTTTTATTTTTTGTCGTGATCGCAAGCGGTAGCGACGAGCTAATTCTTGTTTGATCACATTTTCTTCTTAGTTACTCCAGGCTGCCTATTTGAAAATTATGGGAGCAGCTTATCAGGAGCAGTATTGGAAACAATCACACATAAAACTTCTTCCTTCACATCTTATATTAAGGAAAGAGCCAAGAGTAGGCAAATTCAGACTGAAGAAGTCACTTACGAACATCAAATATGTTCATAGATCACATAACACAGAAGTACACTTCCGACTGAAGCTCCATGGTTTTAGTCACAAATCGTGAAGTGTAGCTGATATTCATTCCTCTCGAAAACATTATTTGCAGAAACTCGCTCCAAACAGACCGGTGGAAAACCGAACATGAAATATACCTGACAGAAATTTACGTTACAGCTACTCGCTTGGTCGGTACACATTCATCTTCCAGGTGGGAATGAATCAAATTTTGCAATGCGCAAAGAACAATAATATGAGATCGCAAGTAAATGTGAGGCTACAACCGGAATAGACTCCAAACTGGATGTCAGGATACTCAGGAAAGGACATAATGAGTCAGTTTGAAAAACTGTTTTATAATGAACAGTCCTATGTTTTCGTGTTCATAAGCCATGGTCTGCAGCTTTTTATACCTGATGTTTCGTCTTCTACTGCGGCATACATTATCAAACATTATAACGAGGCCGAAATCAATCGAGCCTTACGATCCGTTTAGAAACACTCCACGATGATACTAGAGTAAATGGCCAGTGGACGAACTTTTCTGTCCTGCATAGGCGGTCTAACGGAACTAATTGGAAGGCTCGTTGAAAAACATGGAGTTAGGGCCATTTTCAAGCCCACAAGAACAATAAAGAGTAGTCAGGTCAGCAAAAGACCCCAGGGATGCATCAAGTACCCCAAGAGTATACCGAATACCGTATAATTCTACATCGGAATTATGAAAAGGAGAAAAAAAGAATATTTTTTTGAATTGAGATAAAAACACTATCTATTGATGAAAAAATATTGATAATTTATAAACGAAGACAAAAAAATGTGACTTCCAATCCCGGTCTCCCCTACATTGCAAACGCTGAACTCTACGAATAGATAAAAAAATGTTCTACAGTTATTGTACACCTTAAAAAGTTCCGCGATGGTATATGTCTATCTCTTAGGGATAACCCACAATAACTATCTTTATCCTTTACTATTTTACGATGCGATTTCAAGCAATACAGCATCAATCTTTATACAATTAGATAGCTTAAACACATTGCGAATTTAATATAGATCAATAAGACCCTTTACAGCATATAATTCAAATTGATATTTTCGACGATATTACAGATTTAAAATGCTAAGATATAACGGTTGCGGCGGTAACGACCAGGGGCCTATAACACAACCACTACAAGTCTAACAAGTGTATGAATAAATTATACAAGTGTAGATATTCTGTAACATAAAGTAACTAGTGGGGCACTGGTAATTACGGGACTTTCTCTACAATTGTAGTATCTTTTCTCAAAATCTCATATGAAAAAAAAAATCTGAACGATCCATGCACCAGACACTTCAAGGTCACAACGCCTTGACTTCACTGCACAACAAAAAAACTTCACCAAACAACAACCAATAAAAAAAGCAATTAATACGTCATAGTGGTGGGGGGAGGCCGAGAATCAGCTGTAAACAACTACTATCGACATCGTTCAATTTCCCATGACCGCCTGTACCCCTTTTTCTGGCATTATCCACTTTTCCCTTGAAATGAAAAGCATATTTTGGATAAAATATTATGAATCAGGGCCTATGATTCTAATTAATTTCCAGCAATTGGAATATTTTAATTATTGAGGATTGACACGTACGGTTACTAAGCTTAAACATAATATTCTGATTCCAACAAAATGCAGTTGCCTATCAATATTGAAACACCTCGCATAAGTTCAACTAAATCATAAGAGTAACAGAACTAGTACACTACGCTCTTACGTACCTTTGTGATTTTCTTCATATTTTGCCATAGTGTGTCTCTGGCATATGTCCACTCTTTATCTGAAGGCATTAGACAAACACTTTTTGCAACATTTGCTAATTCTTTCCATTTCTCAACTTTGCCTTTTTTTTCAAACGGTCGGAAAAAGCACCGATTAGAATTTTATAATTTTCTTTAACTGTTTGTAAAAACTGCATTTTCCTCTCAAATATTACTTGTTTGCTAGCTATAGCTACAAATATTATTCCACTTGCAGTCCTTGCACTTCACCACTAACACGAAAACACGTTAAGGCATGTTACACCACGAATCGCGTTACCGAAAACAGCAGGTAAATAAATAAATTGTCTTGTAGGAACAACATATACAAGATACAAGTGTAGAATATTTTACTTGTAGCTACAAGTACATGGAATTCTCTTATGTTACGAAACATTAGGATACTTGTAGCTGTAAGCGAATTACTTGTAACTTGTAGACTTGTTACAATTTTAAGATTTGTGTTATAGGCCCCTGAAGGCTGCCGCCTCGTGCCTATAAATAGGGCGTCGTAGACCGCGCTTTGCCTTACAGCACTTTATGATTAGCAGCGATCGCGTTTATATGTATATTTGGTATCAACATTGCTCCCGTGCGGAGCCAGGGCGAGTCGCTAGTTTCGATTAAAATCATGGAATCCTTATGGACTGGAATAGTTTGTTCATTNACTTTCATTTGGCATTACAGGTTTTTTGTGGGTGTTGTAATTATTAATTCTGATTTCGTATAACACACTTTTAGAAGAGTAAATATTATACGTTTATTAAAATATTTATGTCTCGTGGTACGCCAATATTTCTCAAAAGTTAAGTGGTACGCAGGTGCAAAAAGGTTGGGAACCCCTGTCTTAGAGGCTGGGTATATGTAGATTAAATTTTCACATTTTATTTATCGAAGTTCCTCTGTAGTTGTATTATTTGGATATTTTGTGTAGACTTCTAGGTACGTTATCAATTGAAGCTTTTACTTATATAATGGATTTATTGGATCACTTTAGATTAGTATTTCATTCAACGAGCAAGCAATGTGGTCATTACTTGTGAGAATGAAATTTACTGTTAATCAAGTAATGACCATTTCTAGCAAATTAAATATATACTATTTTTTTGTAACTTACGAGTATATAAGGGATATTCTAAAATAAGATTAATTTGTGAAAAAAGTCCCAAAGATGAGATTATTACCATTAGGTTTCATAGCAAAAAACAACAAAAAAAGAATTCAAAAATACTTCATATTTTTGTTCTTTCAATCAATCATAAAAAGTTGGAAATTGAGTGGTCGAAATAGTAAAACGATGTCGATTTGAATCTAGACCCGTTTAAAAAAGCTAACTTACAAATTATTGTGGCACAATGATATTTGAGTTTCACACTATTCTCAATTCATTTTTAGGTGGAAAACATCAATTTTTTTGTCCACATTACAAATTTCCAGTATTTCTCACTCATTTTCATTCCTGAGAACTAGTTTTTGTTGCTCATCATAAATAATGCCAAGAGACCTCAATATTTGAATGAAAAAAATCTATTTTTCAACAATATCATGACAGCAAACATCAGCATGATGAAATCACGAGTCAGTAGGAAGAATGGTTGCTTGATTGGTATTGCCCAGAAATAATAAACTTTGAGTTTGATAAATGGACAATAGATATCTGAGAAAATTTTGGGTCGGGAGGGATTCGTAAATATTCTTTCTTGAATTATTCTCAGCTAAATGCATCGACACGGGGACGTGTCTAAGCTGCACGCCTGGCGTGTCAGTATACACACGCCTGAAGAAGCTATTATGTAGCGAAACACGTGACTAAAGTATCATCTATATCAGTATAAAAGCTGTAATTTGAACAATTAATATGAATTTCATGTCAAAGCTTGTTTAAACAGACAATCATGAAAATGAAATGAAGATGATATTTTAGTTTGACAATGAAGTGTTACTTGATTAAGTTATGGATTTTCATTAAGTTTCGGCCGATTCATTCACATATTTGATACTAGTTGTTGTCCACGGCTTCGCACTCGTAGAATTTAGTTTGTATATTTGTACTTTTGATGTACTGTTTGGAACCTTTGGTGTAGTAATGACTATTACTGTAGTTTTTCCCAACACCAAACCGTTATTTTTAACACCTCGACACGTGTTTCGATCACCAAGCGATCATCTTCAAGAGGAAGATCAAACTAATCATACTTACAAAGCTATCCTTATTTATACCATACAGGTATACCATACAAAGATACAGGTATCTACTTGTTCTAGGTACCTAGAACCTTCCGAGAGCCATATTGATCAGCGCTCAAGATGTTGAAAGCCTTCCAAATGTTTGAGTTAGTTATTTGGAAGAGTTTTCTTGCCCGTTTTGGGAATAGACTAAACGCGAGCAATCTTCCAACAAGAAGGAAAAACCCCTTTCTTGTAAAACAGGTTGAGAAGTCTGCAAAATACTGGTGCGAGTTCATTTGCGTACTTTTTAGGTATGATGACGGGCACTTCATCAGGATCAGTCGCCTTGTTGATATTGAGCCGTTTCAGAATTCACCTGACTAGACGCTGTCGAAAAGTAATTTCCGGCATTGTGGATTCTAGTGTGGGAATAGTGGGTGGTGCCTTCCCCAGGAAATTGACTGTGGAGTGGGACGCAAATTGTTCAGCTAGTAGATTTTTTTTATGGCTGTTGTTGCAATTGAACCATCCGCAGTTGAACTAATTCAAATATAAAAAATTATTTCTTACCCCTAGCATATACGGGTAAAACTGAATTCTTTTCATCTTTCGCCAATTCGGAATTGACACTCTCCTTAATCACAACAGTACTATCGTGTTCCATTTTGTCGCACTTGCCTTCAGGGCAAGCTCCGGTCAAAACGATGAGAGTGGTTTTTGGATCGGTGGATTCAATGATGTGTTTCAGGCTTTGAATCAGCGGGCTATGTCTGTCGCATATTTCTGAAAGATGTCCACCGAAGATGATGAAAAGAAAGGGTTCTCCCGGAGTTTCTTGGAGCGTATTCAGGGTGGATCTTACTGATTCAAATAGACCAGGGTCTTGCTTCTTTTGACCGATGAAGTTGCTCAGGATTTCGTTCTCTTCTTTTGAGAGCTTCTTTTTTTTTTCTGAAATAAAAGGCAATATTAATCTGTGTGAACTTCATACAACTAATAGTATCACTGAATTGATACTGAAACTTGATGAAATAGCAGTATATCATGCAATCACAATTTGAGAATATCACTTTGTTATTGAGAATAAGGAAAATTTGAATCAACTACACTGAGTACACAATACGGTTCTAAATTGTATCACCTACTTACCGCTCAGTGGGCTGATGCTTATGTCAATTATTTTGAAATAGTGACTGTTACCTTAGTTTTATTATTAAAGCTTTTCATTTTTTCTCTGTTCGAACTCGAGTTATCATTTTGTTTATTATCTTCTATACCAACATGACCGTCCAAAAATAGTCAAAACGAAGGTATTAATGTTACAATTCTAGGCCACGTTGCCTCGATGGAACATAAATAATTTTTGACTACGTCTCAAGCATCAGAAGTGATTCGTAAAAATGTTTTCAGGAGTCTTCATCGACAAGAATTTCATCCTTATGCAAAGAAAATGATTCATGAGTTGAACAAAAATTATTTCGACAAAAAAGTAGAATTTTGTACGATCCTCTCGGTGAACGCCAACCGTTATCCGGAATTGGATTATACTTTTATCTCTGATGATGTTATGGAACGAATTTCGTTAACCTATTGTTTCCTATTCTCATGTTCTCATTTATGCATGAATACTTCTGAGTACGATCCAGTTTATTTTCGCGTGAATGCAGAAACCAGTCGCTATCTATAAGGAAGCAAAAAATGTCCTTGCTGGAAAAAGTAGTATGATTTGTTCGACAGGAGGGAACGAATCTAAAATACACACATCGGAAAAGTCTAGGGATATTTTTATAACATACTAAATATCATAAAAATAAATGCATGAGGTCGTTTAATTTCGATTAAATTGGTACACTCTACCACCCTGTAGATTTCTATGGGTTGAACAAAGCCTGCAAAAACGTAAGGATAATAATTAACATCCGACTTCTGACTGTGGCGGCCGCCCAAGATCTGCAAGACCACCAGGGAGGAAAATTCCAAGGTAAGGTGACTTGTTTCTGGCGTACCTATTCAAATTCGTTAATATTATAAACACAGTCCACAAGAATACTCTCGTTACTCAACAGATGAGTATACCTTTCATTGGAATCAGAGGTTCTCAAACTCATTTTGTCTACCGCCTACTTCGAGAATTAATTATTTTCTAGCACTCCTCAATTTTTTTTGCTTCACTACATCTTTCAAGAATCACAATCGCAGTCATTATTTTAATAATTAAATTATGTGTGTCATGTGAAAATAAGACTTTCTGATGAGGGTAATGTGAAACATCTTTTTGTAATATTATGAAAACTTTCATTCATGTTATTAAAACACACATTTCAATCTGAATTTTAAAACTAATCTAATGTGAAGGATGATTTTGATGATTTTTAACAAGTTTGTTAATATCAGGCTCGAATATACTCGCGTTCGGTAATCTGCAACCGATTTCTATTTTTAGTTAGCAACGTTGCCACAGCACTAAATCCACGTTCACACAAATACGATGATGGGAATGCTATCAAAAATCGTGGAATGATGGACCACAATCCAGGGTTCAATTGCGGGATTGGCTTTTGTAGCCAAAATTCTTGGTATCCATTTTTGAATATTATTTCTATTTCCTCGTTCGGTATCAGCTCTATGAGTTCTTCTTCCAGCTGGGGTGATCCTGCTGTGTTGACATTTGAAAAAGGATCCAACACCCAGTCCGGTATTTCAGATTTTAAAATGCCCTGAAACCGTTCTGCGAAATCACTGTGCAGGTTATCCAAATGTTGGCAGTAAACAAGCAAGTCGTCGTTGTTGAAGGATACTGCTGACAAATTAGGGAAATTGCGAAACTCACGTCCGCCGATATTATTATTGTATAAGAGCAATTTGGCTACAAAAGCAATGACATTTTTTGTTTTAATCAAATTCAAGTCGTCACCATGAAGTTGGAGATTGACATCATTAAATAATTCATACAGGTCTGTCAAGTACGCAATATCATTCTTTGAAGTGATGAGGTTGTCCTGAAATTCTTTGTCTTTGTTACCTTGAGTCAGACAGTTACCTTTTGATAACCAACACACTTCTGTGTGAAATAGCAATCAGTTGAAATCTTCATCATCAGCAACATAAAGCTGATTGAATAATCTGTCATTTAAAGAGCTGTTTCAGATTCAATTGACTGGTTTGATGATATATTGCAGTGTTTGAGGGAGGCGCTCATTCAAATTTTTCGCAACCAAATGTTGCCTATAAATGACGCAATGTACAGCTATGAAGCCTTTGTGACGTCCTGTCATAGCCGGAGCGCCATTCGTAGCAGCTGATATAATATTCTTCAGTGGAATTTCTTCCTCATCACAAACATTTTCCAGTGTATTATATATGGTTTCTCCTTTTGTATCCGTCTCTAAATTTCTGGCAAATAGTAATTCTTGATATTTTCTCATTTTTAATAAACCTCACGTATGACAACAACAATGCTGCATTGGTTGGTAAAGTCTTCAGATGATTGCACAATGACTCTTCAATGTTTTCAGCCATCTCATCAATTCGTCTTTGCACGGACTTTTACTCAAAGGAATTTTTTGGATAATATCTGCCGCTGATTTATAGAGCACAGTAGTTATTACTTTTTTCATTACCAGTAAAATTGAATTCCCTTCCGTAGTGTGAGGTTTACCTGTTTGAGCAATTAGCAAGGAGATATTGTAGGAAGCTCGGAGTCCGTCGTCGTCCTGCTTAGAAGCCGATGAAATAAGTTTTGACACAGTTGGCTGAGCTGAGTGTTTCTTTTCCAGTTCTTGAAAATAAGTCACACTTTTGTCTTTTTTATCTGAATGCATTTTATTCAAATGATCTTGTAGCTTTGAGTTTCATCGCTTCATTCGAAAATGTTTTTTGACAAAGAAGGCACATAGGCGAAGAGGGATTTGTGGGATTTTCAATAAATCCATATTTTATATATTCCGCGCTATACTGTTGTTTCTTCTTTTCTGCTTTCGACATAATTTTGTCTTCAAAAATGCAGAAGTAAAAAATCGAGTATTAAAAACTTGCTAATGACACCACTCACAGTATTCACCACCGCACATACAGCACTTTACATAGCTAGTCGCTAACTGAATTCGCTTGTTTGTTGTTGTTTTACTTGTTGTTTATATGAGGCAGCGGGCGGGCCTAGTACTTTCGAAAATGGAGACTAGAAACTTCTCACTTCGCATTGAAGCTTACCGCCATCTATTGTACAGTTTCACAACTATCGGACAGGAAATAGTTACTGTCTAGTCCTCTAAATGGTGTTACATGAGAAACGCGCGTTAAGCGTGAAGGTGCGGTAAAGCAAACGCTTTAAAAAGGTGTTGAAAGCAAAAAACATTTTTCAACGTCCCCCAATCTTCTCTGTGCCTTTTACTGCCCCCTATAGGACTCCAGCGCACACAAGGGGGCGTTATCACCCTCTTTGAGAAAGAATAATCTAAATCGTCTAAATGTTCGATACTGGAGGGATTCGAATCCAAATATGACACGCCAAATTCACTCCAATTGGGTAGTCATATTGAAGGACTATTTTTTGAAGCCGAACCAGAATGGTGAATAATATTCCAGTTTGATGAAAAATTAAGTTATGCCAAACATTAACAATATCATACAGTTATATTATCTATCACGAGGTGGAGTAGTTTTTCAATAAGATGGGACTCCTCATCATTGAGTGGTTCCAGTGCAATACTTTCAAAGTAATAACTTTCCTGGTAGATGAATTCGAAAGAGAGATTCTACAGAATGGCCACTTAGATCCCCCGATTTGACTTCACGAAGCTTTTTCCACGGGGGATGGTTGAAATTTGAAGTCTACAATATACAGACAACTACGGAAAGAAATTACCTGGTGTTGAAGGCTTCAGAATGTAAGAACGGAAACAGATGTTTGTTTTCAGAATTACGAGGGCGGTCTGAAAAGTTTCCGACCTATCGAAGAAACAAGACATTTTTTAATTTTTTTTTTCATTTTTCAACATTGTCTTCTTTCAACTCTACATCTCTCCTAGCGATGCTATCTTCTCTGTAACCCATTCAAATTTTACTCGGCGTTTGTCTCTGCAAAATAATTGTACACGAAGGTGATTGCCACACCGTGAGTCGTCGATTTTTGCCATGGCAACAGCTGAGGTGTGAGACTGTTCGTTGTCTTGATGAGACAGGCTTTTTTATGCAAATCTGTTTGCGCATGTTCTGTTTTCAGCTTCTCAAGTAATAATGCGTAGTATGCTCCTTTGATGGTTTTCTTTTTTGGAGATTATCTATTAAAATAACTCTATGCCTTTCCCAAAAAACTATCGCCATCACTTTCCCAGCCGAAAAAACACTTTCTCCTTTTTTTGGAGCCGGTTCTCTATTTGCAGTCCATGGTTTGGACTATATTTTTGTTTCGGGCGCCAAAACTCAGATTCATTGCATCTAAACTGCGCCAACAGAGCGTTGGAAATGCTCGCGTTCAGCCTATTCCCAAAAAGGGCAAGAAAAATCCGCAGTCGATGTCCTGGAATTCAAATGTGATGCTGTCGTCAGCAAATCACTTTTTTGGATTATTGGTTTTTTACAATAAGTCTTTAATATACAATGAAAAGAGGGTTAGAGGTTGGATCCTTGGGGAACACCAACGTTGATGGTGGAAGTATTCGAGAGATATCCATCGACGGCCACTTGCAGGAAACGCTCTTTCAGGGAAAGAGCCACACAAAAATGTTTCGATAAGCCATAGCATTGAAGTTTGGCCAGCAAACCCTCACGCCACACACGGTCAAAGGCCTTAGAAATATCTATTATTATTATTCGTTTCTCTATTACTTGAACTGATATGTTGGTTACATACCAGTGAAAGAGGAAAGAAAAAACAAAGGCAGGCTAGATTATCGACAAAATAATTTTCATTCAAAATACCATCGATAGAGTTCAACAATTATGGAAGAGTTGATTTTTAAAGTGGATTTTCCATCGATTTCGAAATGTTTAGAATCTCCATGATGAAAGACCAGAAAAAAAGTATGAAAAATCTCACCATCCTCGAATAAATTGCCGAAAAACGAAAATTTAACATGCGACATCACATCAAGAACATCCCATGGTGGTTTAGTCTTCTCTCTGCCAAGAGGAACATCTGCGATTTCTCCCACTTTATTTTCAGTTCCGTAATCCGCACCATCTCTTTTGACTCTTATATTGAAAACTTCTGTATGTTCGGGACTGGTGATGATATCTTTTTCTAATACTTTCTTGATTTTTGACATTGTGGGCAAAATGCCGTCTGAGTCCTTACTTCTCCGAAATTTGCGAGTACCTCTTTGCATGACTGGGTGCTTCATTTGTAGTGGAATTTCGGACTCTCCGTTAATTATATTGTTTGTTGATACCTTCGATGAAACCGAAACGGTGGCTGTAAAAGAGAAATTTATTTTATTTGTATTATCGAATAATCTTATTACAGACAAACTTTAAATACATTTCACATTTCTTCTTATATTTTTTATATAAAATGTAGGGTGTCTCTTGAGGCTTCAATAAATTCAAGATATTGCAGGACTATCGTCAAACTTAAAGCAGTCCGTTTCGTCTTTGACCAATGCGTAATAATGACCAGATTCAACGTCATAACCACAATGAATAATGACTGCATGGTTTTTTGAATTCGTCATTCTACCGTCAGTGCAATATGAACCTCTTAGAGCAGGGGTTCCCAACCGGTGGTACGCGTACCACCAGTGGTACGCGGGAACGTTTCAGGTGGTACGCGTGAGTGATGTGAACAATATGCTGTTAATAGCAAACATGACTCAGCTCACGGGTCGCTAGAAAAACGAAATATCCATAACCCAATGAACGACTTGACATCTTTGTTTTTCTATTACATTGGAATTTATAATTCTTAGGTAATAAAACAATAAAACACTTTAGGAATTTTACCTAGGAATCCCCAGATAGTACAATTGGTAAACAAAGGGTGTTTCATTTTTTACCTGCCATTCTTTAAAAGGATTGTCTTTTACTTTCATTTGGCATTACAGGTTTTTTGTGGGTGTTGTAATTATTAATTCTGATTTCGTATAAGAAAACTGAACTATGAAACGATTTCTGACGTCCTCTTCTACTTCAAAGGATTGTGCTGAAAAACCTAAATTATCGGCCAATCGGTCTTTGAACACTTTTAGAAGAGTAAATATTATACGTTTATCAAAATATTTATGTCTCGTGGTACGCCAATATTTCTCAAAAGTTAAGTGGTACGCAGGTGCAAAAAGGTTGGGAACCCCTGTCTTAGAGGCTGGGTATATGTAGATTAAATTTTCACATTTTATTTATCGAAGTTCCTCTGTAGTTGTATTATTTGGATATTTTGTGTAGACTTCTAGGTACGTTATCAATTGAAGCTTTTACTTATATAATGGATTTAGTATTTGGATCAAGATTAGTATTTCATTCAACGAGCAAGCAATGTGGTCATTACTTGTGAGAATGAAATTTAGCTGTCGATGAATGACTCGAATAATTTCACTATCAATGCTGGTGTTCCCTAGGGATCTATTTTGTATCCAACCTTTTTTTTATTGAATATCAACGACTTATTGTAAAAATACCAAGAAACCAATATATTGCACATCTTCACCGGCAGCAGGAGGTTGCATATCTTAATGAAGACCTAGAAGTGATTTCGAATTGGGGTGGAAGTAACCAGCTTCAATTCAATGCCACAAGAACCCAGGCATCGGTTTTCTCCAAGAAGATTAATGTCTCAGAACCGGATATGTCAGGACTGACATAAGTTGGTTGGAGATTAAAATGGACACCAATATGCCTTGGCACCATCATGTCGTTGAAATTGTAAAGGCTGCTTCTCAAAAGCTTGGAACACTATTCCGAACCAGAAAACTATACACACCTTAGCAAGTTGCTAAGGTGTGTATGGTTTTTTGGTTCGGAATAGTTCCTACTTTGGAATATTGCTCTCATGTATTGAGCTACGCCCCTAAGCGTAGCCTGAAGCTAATGGATTCCACCCAGAAAAGAGCCATTCGCCTGATTGGAGACACGAACATCACTTGTAACCTTGATAGTCTGAAACATTGAAGAAAGGTTGAAGATTTGTCACTCTTTTATAGATACTTTCACAGGAGGTGTTCAACTGACGGTATATTCGATTCCACCGAGAGCGGTACAGATTAGAAATACGCGACGGATTGTGACTCCTCATATATTTGAGGTTCAAATCAGTACACCCCAAACTCCACTGCTTAAGAACTCTTGCATTTGGAGAACTGCGTTTATGTGGAATAAACTTCCCGAGAATCCAAATACAAATGTTATTTTTAACACTTCGACAAGTGTTTCGATCATCAAGTGATCGAAGATTAAAACTCTTTTTTAATTTTTTTTTAATCTTTCTCTTTGAAGATGATCACTTGGTGATCGAAACACGTGTCGAGGTGTTAAAAATAACGATTTGGTGGAGAGGGTTCCATTCGTAATTCGCTTATTGTGTATGATTGAAGAGAGACTTTTTAGTAGGTCCAGAGAAAAGTCGAAAGTAAAATGATTCTTTCCGTGTAGTATTTGAAAATGTATTTTGAATGGAAAAAAAATGTGTGACGACCTTTTATTACAGTTGATGTTCTTCTTAGACCAAATCGATGGTCTCAAACACCAATGACAGAACTCCAGGAATAGCGGAATAGCGACAAAAAATGAGTGTTTGGACTTTTTTTTTATTCAGAAAAACCGCATCAGCCGTAGCTATTAGCGGCAAACATATGAAATATATCTAAAATATGCACTTGTTTACATTACAGTTCAAATAAAATGTTACATTCTTTATGAAATTCAGTAATATTGTTCGTATTGGTATTTTGGAAAATTTCATTTAGGTCGGAAGGAAATTTTTTGTTGAGTCTCTCAACTGTGAGGAGCGGGTACTCTATCAGAACATGCTTCATGCACTTCACACGCGAAATATTTTGGTGGCGGTTCTTTCCTCAGTATATGTTCATGCGTAAGGCGAATGTGGCCCAGTCGTAATCTGGTAATTATGACTTGATGGAAGCGGTTTGTTGCTTTGTTGGTCCAAGGATATAATGTAGATTTTATTTCCTTAAGTTTGGAGGGTTTTTGAGACCAGTGGTGATTCCATATTTCTTCAATTCTGCCGTGGAAAAAGGATTTGAGATCTGTTGGTAATGCTTTCATATTGAGAGTACATGTTGGATTTTCTAGAGCATCTCTGGCGAGTTTATCGGCTATATCGTTTCCAGTAATCCCAGTATGTGAAGGAACCCATAGTATCTAGTTGTTTCATCTTCTCTTCAATCATATTTACCAGTAAGTGATGGGTATATATTTGCGACAAGGAAATAGTCACACTCTATTATAACAACTAATTTTGTTCAAACCTCAATGTTTAATAGTTTACATATTTCGTACCGTAATAAACTGTCTATCGCATAAAAGAACATACTGCTGAAAGTATCGTTTTATTAATTTATTCAAAATATTTCTTGAAAATTATGGGCAAGACTAGAAAGAATGACGTGAGTTGAAGAAGATTCTAGTGGCTTCGGATAGGTTATGTAAGTGATATCGCAGTTGCCTGGAATAGTTATTCAGTTCAGATTTCGTTATGTGAAACAATCTAGAGATAGTGAACTGCTCGAATAAATAACTTTATCAGCTTCATTGAAGTACTAGACTTCGTTAGCGACGACGTTAGATTTTTGGGTTTTTCCAGATTTCCTAACAGCAAAATGTTCTTATGTATTTGTATTGCTTTGATTTATGAAAAAATCGTTTTACAAAGTGTTAAACTATAATCAACCAAAATTTCAGTCAGATCTATTGAATAGTGTTTTTATAGTTATTTTTTCCAATAAATAATTGACCTATTTTTTGATATAAACAACAGTCAATGTTAAGTGGAGCTTGACACAATAATTAGTGAAAACCGCACCCGAATTGGTTGAACCCTTTTTGAGATTAGCGTGCACAAATATACAGTCCAAGTTATACAGTTCCAAGTTATTTCTATACATGATTTCTATGCAGATTTTAAACAGATTTCAAACAGATGAACAACACATCTTTGTTATTTTTGAGAAAGGAAGTTTTTGGCTTTCTACTACTCAATCTTGATTCAAAAAAAGTGATGAGGGAATCTTCCATCGGTGTATACCTGTGAGGGTGACAGTGTTCTATGTAAGTGCAATTTATTACCATTCATTCAAAGTAGAACTCATGTGAATGATATCTGATTTTTATTCCCCAACGAATGTTCGAAATACAAACTGAGCAGAGAAAAGTATCTTCTGTATAATTCAGTGTTCATATAGAAGTATTTGTTTCGAAAGAATTTTTTTCTTTCGTGTATTTCAATGTTTATATGAAATTAGCTGTTTCAGGAGAATTTTTTTTCAGTTTGAGTCTGAAAGTTACTTCTTTGCATGATTTACACATCCATGTATAGAGTTACTCATTTTCAAATTGATTACTTCCTTCCTTTCTTCGAAAAATTCCCTCATCCCTTTTTTTATATCAAGATAGAGTAGTAGAAAGCCAAAAACTGTCTTTCCCAAAAATTAATCACTCCTATAAATAAAACCCCTTCAATTCACATCTTTGTTAGTTTACTATGACATTAATTCCTTTCTTTGGGAGATTCCCACATCATTTTGCATAAAGATGGAGATATTGAAAGATAAAACCTTTCTTTCCTAAAAATGAATCTCTCCTAATTATAAACCCCTTTAAATTTTAAACAAGTTTACTATGGCTAGGATTAAATCAAATGAGCGAATGAATGTCATTACGTACCGTCATCGATGATATGAGTGGATTTAACTCATTCATGACATAAAGTGGTAATTTTATGAATGAATTCTTGCTTAATCTTGTTATGATATCCACATTGGTGCTGAAGAGGCAATAAAGAAAATATCTCATTCCGAAACATTGAGGATGACAGTGTTTCATGTGAGTGAAAGTACACCTTTTTTATATTACTCGTATAGTATACTGTGTAGCAATCTGATGAGATCAGAATGAGATCTGATTGGATTCCATAACGAATATTTGGAGTACAAACTGGATAGGAAAAAGTGTTTTTTTTGTATTAAACAATGTTCATATGAAAGAAGTTGTTCAGAAAATATTTTTTATTTTGTGTAGTTCAATGTTTATATGAAAGTAGTCGTTTCGAGAGGGATTTTTCGTCTAGTTTGTGTCTGAAAGTTACTTTCTTGCATGATGTACACATCTTTGTTGAAGCGTTTGGAGAAGTAGAATGTCAAAACCTTCCTTTACCAAAAATGAATATCTCCCAAAATATACCCCATTCAATTTCAAATGAAGTTGGTAATTGAAATTTTGCAACTATTGGATGGAAGCCAAAGGCGTAATAATATAATATTTCATCCCACTTTCTGTAGTCATTCATAAGTATCATGTTGCCTGTCGACACAGGACCTTCCTCTCTTTGACATTTGTTGTGATGAAGAATATTTGGACTAACAATAGTTTGAAGAATAGTATTTTGCGAGAAATTTATCAGAGGAAGAGGTCATCAGTTATAGTTATCCTAAATACTTACCAGTTTTCATTCCAAGGGCGTTCTGACAAAAGTGCGTCAAAGACTCCAAACCTTCTCGTAGAAGTTCCTTACAGTTCATCGTGTTTCTCTGCGCTATGTATGAATGGATATCTCGAGTAGATGGGAAGCTATGCTTGAAAGAATAATTGAACAATAAAATTAAAAGGCGATTTTTTTTCTGTTCCCATTTGGACGTTATAGAAACTATAACAATAAACGTATTGCTAAAATTTCAATATTATGAAAATACAATTGTTCTAAATATCATCTGAAACAAAAAATGAAAGTAAATTTCAACAAATCAGCATAATGAAAAAGAGTAATTATTTTTAAAAATATATGGAAATATCACCTTTATTTGACTAATCCGTGGAAAATCATAACATTTATTTCGAAATAACTTTCAGTGAAATACCCCATAAAATATCTGTCGATAATTTGTTTTTTAATTTGAATTCAATATTTAGGTTGTTGGCATATAAGATTCTTTTCAGACAGGCACTACTGTGGGAAAGGTACAATGAATTGAATTTCATCAGTGCAGAATTCTATTGNCACTTCGGAACATGCTGGAATATTCCGGAATGTGATGGAATGTTTAGAAATAGTTTGGATCGTTCGAAAAGTAACCTGAACATTACAGATCATTGTGGAACGAACAAGGGAGTTATATGATGTGGTGGCTTGAAGAAGGTTCTTGTTTTGTCCTGAAAGTCATGGTTGTGAAGATGAAAGGGGCTGGATGTTCCGCCCAGAAAATTCGAGAGTATTCGACAGGATTCCGTAACATCTTGAAACATTCTGAAAGGAGGTGGAATGTTAGGTAATAATCCCCAATGGCCAACCTCGGAACATCCCAATGTCATCGGGGTACGATCGGGGGAGTTATATTTTGCGCTAACCTTATGTACCTCATGCAGGAAAAAGATTTCGGTTTTCACCTGAAGTGCGTGCTTTTGAAGATATGAGAACAACCAGAGAATCCCTGAACATTCTGGAATGTTGGGACATCCTGAAATATTCCAAATTATTGTGAAACGATTAACGGAGTCATATTGTATAACACTCCTCTATCCCCCATTCGACAAGGTTTCCGGAATGTGCAACATGCAGTCAAACGAAGCAATGAATTTATTTTTTTTGGGGGTGTCAGAGGCGTTGACTACATTGATCATTAGTCTCGTGTCCTAGGTAGGTAATGTTAATAACTCCCCGAGCCACCAAAGGAGCATCATGTCTTTTTGCAATTCGTCAGCCATGTAACGTTGCAGAATCATCCCATATCTGGTCGAGGTTGGGATCGAACTCACGATCTTCCGATCGTCAGTCGGGCGCTATTGTTATTATTATCATCATTTTCATTATAGTTGAGAAATATTTGAAATAATCGAATGTAATGACCTTTTTCAGATAACAATTATCATATAAAATAGAAAAGAAATTGTTAAAATCCATCCGCTAAACTGAAATTCTTANAAATGAGAGCGACAGATGACTCAATCTACGAATTTAGAAAATGAATAAGGCTCCCTAAGGTAGCTGCTGTGAAGTATAGCTCGGTCATCGACCATAGAACGAGTTTTTGTCTTCCTTATTTCGCTGCAGCTTTCATTGCAGAGTAACTAGTTGAAACCAGAGCCCAAGAACAAAACAAAATCGTGATTGAATGACAACAGACAGTGCTGTTTCAACTTGACAAGGTATCAACAGTGTTGCTAGAATGCATTGCTGGATTCAACAGTCCTCAAAAAAGAAACCTGGATGAATATCGGCGAAGTACTTATCTCCTTACGAAGACGCCATCAATAGGACCGACAAAAGACTCAATTTACGAATGCATTCGTGGTACACCCTATTACTACTGATAAGACCTTGGGCGACTGAAACAGCGCTGTGTGGTGTTGGATAACAGATGCTTTGTTTTTGGGATCTGGTTTCATCTCGTTCCCTTGCAGTGAAAGACAGAAGACGTGTTTCATTTGGCAGTCGCTGTTGAAGCAAGGCCTTGTAGGGAACTGCCTCTGGGAGCCTGTTTCATCTTTGATAAACGTGGATTTACTCTTTTGCCGGTAACTTGAATGGTGCCTTAAGAAGTGGAAATGTCATCCACCGTACTAACTCCGGTTTGTTCTTCAAGAACACTTGAGTTCAGCAATGCATTTGTGTGTCAGATCAGCACCACTGATGACATCTTTGCGAGTCGAACGAAACAGGGCTATCTTGTGTTGCATTACGATGAAATCAGAGCCCAAATGCTCTGGTTTCATCTAGTTGCCTTGAAGTGAATGTGGAGGATTTGGTCATACAGTGAAAGATAGAGCTTGACTTTGTAACAGACCGTTGCCGTGGTTTGAGTCTTCTGTCGGTTCACAGATGGCCTGTTCGTAAGAGGAAATGGTATTGCCCTCATTTAACATATTTCCGGTTAATAAGTTAATTCGTATTTTGGCAATCGTCCAACTCTACTGTTTTAATAATGAAGTTTGATTATCTATGCTATCATTGATATCAAAAATCATGGAGAAAGCCATAAACAACCATGTCCTTAAATATTTGGAAGGCCTTAACATATTGAGCGATCATCAATATGGCTTTCGAAAACAAAGATCAACAGGAGAGCTTCTACCATATGCCACCCATATTTGGAATAACGCAATCGAGAAACATAGAGAGTAAGAGAAGTTGCGCTTGATATTTCTAAGGCATTTGACCGTGTGTGGCATGAGGGTTTGCTGGCCATACTTTGATGCTATGGCTAGTCTGAGAATCATTTTTGTGTATGGATCTCCAGCTTCCTGAAAGAACGTTTCCTGCAAGTAGCTGTCGATGGATATATCTCGAATAATTTCACCATCAATGCTGGTGTTCCCTATGGATCTATTTTGTATCCAACCTTTTTTTTATTGAATATCAACGACTTATTGGAAAAATACCAAGAAACCAATATATTGCACATCTTCACCGGCAGCAGGAGGTTGCATATCTTAATGAAGACCTAGAAGTGATTTCGAATTGGCGTGGAAGTAACCAGCTTCAATTCAATGCCACAAGAACCCAGGCATCGGTTTTCTCCAAGAAGATAAATGTCTCAGAACCGGATATGTCAGGACTGACATAAGTTGGTTGGGGATTAAAATGGACACCAATATGCCTTAGCACCATCATGTCGTTGAAATTGTAAAGGCTGCTTCTCAAAAGCTTGGAACACCATTCCGAACCGGAAAACTATACACACCTCAGCAACTTGCTAAGGTGTGTATAGTTTTTTGGTTCGGAATAGTTCCAATAGTTCCAAAGTAGATCTGCTTTATAAAGCAGACCTTCTTTGGAATATTGCTCTCATGTATTGAGCTACGCCCCCAAGCGTAGCCTGAAGCTAATGGATTCCACCCAGAAAAGAGCCATCCGCCTGATTGGAGACACGAACATCACTTGTAACCTTAATAGTCTGAAACATTGAAGAAAGGTTGAAGATTTGTCACTCTTTTATAGATACTTTCACAGGAGGTGTTCAACTGACGGTATATTCGATTCCAACGAGAGCGGTACAGATTAGAAATACGCGACGGATTGTGACTCCTCATATATTTGAGGTTCAAATCAGTACACCCCGAACTCCACTGCTTAAGAACTCTTGCATTTGGAGAACTGCGTTTATGTGGAATAAACTTCTCGAGAATCCAAATGTTATTTTTAACACTTCGACATGTGTTTCGATCATCAGGTGATCATCTTCAAAGAGGAAGATTAAAACCCTTTTTTTAATTTTTTTTTGGCTTTCTACTACTCCATCTTGATACAAAAAAAGGGATGAGGGAATCTTCCATCGGTGTATACCAGTGAGGGTGACAGTGTTCCATGTAAGTGCAATTTATTACCATTCATTCAAAGTAGAACTCATGTGAATGATATCTGATTTTTATTCCACAACGAATGTTCGAAATACAAACTGAGTAGAGAAAAGTATCTTCTGTATAATTCAGTGTTTGGGAGTTATATGATGTGGTGGCTTGAAGAAGGTTCTTGTTTTGTCCTGAAAGTCATGGTTGTGAAGATGAAAGGGGCTGGATGTTCCGCCCAGAACATTCGAGAGTATTCGACAGGATTCCGTAACATCTTGATACATTCTGGAAAGAGGTAGAATGTTAGGTAATAATCCCCAATGGCCAACCTCGGAACATTCCAATGTCATTGGGGTACGATCGGGGGAGTTATATTTTGCGCTAACCTTATATACCCCATGCAGGAAAAAGATTTTGGGATATCCTGAAATATTCCAAAATATTGTGAAACGATCAACGGAGTTGATCCCCCATTCGATAAGGTTTCCGGAATGTGCAACATGCAGTCAAACGAAGCAATTAATTTTTTTTTGGGGTGTCAGAGGCGTTGACTACATTGGTCATTAGTCTCGTGTCCTAGGTAGGTAATGTTAATAACTCCCCGAGCCACCAAAGGAGCATCATGTCTTTTTACAATCTGTCAGCCATGTAACGTTGCAGAATCATCCCATATCTGGTCGAGGTTGGGATCAAACTCACGATCTTCCGATCGTGAGTCGGGCGCTATTGTTATTATTATCATCATTTTCATTATAGTTGATGTAATGACGTTTTTCAGATAACAATTATCATATAAAATAGAATAGAAATTGTTAGAATCCATCCGCTAAACTGAAATTCTCAAATATCGTAATATAGTAAGTGTATAGTATAGTAGTGTTCATTTCCTCTTCTGGAATATTCACGAAATATATTTCTGAATTATAAAATGAAACTGCAGCTATACCAGTACTGGTCTCCATTTTGTCTAAATCTTCACTTGAAGAATTGAATTGATAACTAGAATCTTCAACGTCTGGCGTGAAACAATTCATATTGAAAACATATGAAACTACTTTTGAAATTGGAACGATCACAAAATTCTTACAGATCTGAAAAATGCTGTTAGCATATGTGGGTGCCTCTCACCAGTTTTTTAAACTATTATAAACAAGGTGAAAAACAAATCAAGTACCAATACCCTCAAGTATAAAAAAAAAACTAATTAATAAAGGGTTTTACAAAAACCGCGAAACGTGTTTCGCTATACAATAGCTTCCTCAAGCGTAAACTAAAAGTTACTAAATTAGAAGTAAACTATATTACAATAAATAGATTTGGAAAGCTGAATATACTTATTGAATGAATGAATCGAAGAGGTTTTTGTATTAAAGTGTTATAATTTTTAAAATTCTTGCAAAGCGCTTTCGACTTTCGTCATCAACAGTGGCATGATTAATCAATAAGACTGTGAATTGTTTTTCTAGGCAATGAGGAAATATACAATTTCAGGTGATACTGAAAGACATTGGTATAGTTTGGGATTCAAATATATCAGACTTTTTTTTCTTTTTATTTTCTCATAAAAGGAGTCAAGTATGTGAGTTGTCTGTTCCTTGTATTGTATTGATGTTCCGGGTTCTTCAATTCGTGCTTAGAATTATGCTGTTTGATGTTGCTACGTAAAAAGAATAGTTGCCTTGGATCCATAATATTAGTTTCATTGAATAGTCTATCCGATGGATATTTTATATCTTTATTGAATATAATTTTNAAAGGTTTTGACTGAAGAATTTATCACTGAACAATCCGAAATATCTTTGAAACCCATTTGAAAATTTTGCTGAGAGATAAAGTATTTTTTTCATTTGCTTTTATTTTAATTTCATAAAGTTCTTGTTACAATACTGTATAATTTTGAGTAATTTTCGGTGTTAACAAAAAATAAAAATAACTTTGCACCAAAAACTTTGAAAATTATTTTACTCTTCAAAAAAATTGACCGTAGTTAACACCATAGTTGTACACTTTGTGATATTGCAGTCTTTTAAAATAAACCGTCATATAAAGGATGCTGTCTATTTATCGTTTTAGCAAATTTTTCTTTTCGTAGTTCTCTTTTTTAAAAAAATGGGTACAAAAAATAAAACTTCACTCAGATGGCCATGACTTCAAATCTAGATGTATTTCTAATGCTGAAGAACTTTTTTATCATCCGCGATTTTTTAAAATAGGAGTACTTTACTCTTGTCTCAAAATCAAATATTTGAAGACTCTTCGTATATTACGTGTGTTTTACTGTATTTTGTTGGTGCATGTAAAGTTTTAGGGGATGCACAAACTTCTATCAAGAATAACTTTCTGTCGAAAAACCCTTAATAAATAAGTTTCCCATACGGTGCATAGTTTGGGGATGGCACTGTATAATCTTAGAAGCAACTCATGTTGTGAAAGAAGGGTCATTTGTATCAAAATAATTTTTTGGGAGACCTAAGTGTGTATATGATGTGTATCTAAAACCGCTCGAATGAAAATTTTGACTTCAAATTCTTGATCAGCCATCCATAAAATTTACCAAAAAGTTATCAATATATCATAAATTTTACTTTAACTCTCGCCATCTCCTGCATTTCCAAAAACTTTATTCCTGCTATCGAACTGGGAATTTTGCCGCTGTCTGCGAAAAACAAGACCACGCTGATCTGACGGTTTGTCGTTTCCAAAGTACATACTCCTACAAAGACAAAAAAGTTTGTTAAATAAACATGTCCAAACGTACGTTGATGACTTACCCGGCGTGGATATTAAATAGAAATAAACGCAACAAAGTTTAAAAATATATCGAAATGTCATCGTGTTTCACTTTCATCTCACTGTGAGTGACGTTGTCAGGAAAAGCGATTTCCTATGTTTTAATAGCCCTGGTTATGTCCCAGCTGACTGGAGTAGCTCTATGCGTGAATTTGAATAGGGCTATTTCTGTCAGCAACTGCAAGATATTAATAAGCAACTGCTATTATTATGAAATTCGATACGGCAAGTTATGAAACCGTATTATTTATGCATTTGCGCCAAGATTAATGAGTCATGGAGTGATTTTTATATTGAGCTATTATTTTTGATGTTACATGAAGTTATTACTTGGATGAATCAATAGATATTTTTGGAAAATGCCTTTCATTGTATTTCTAAAATAATCTTTACGATTGTGACCCGATTTTACATCAATCTACTTCGACGCTATTGTTGTTTAAGACTGTTTCTTTAAAACGATCAATAGAAGAAAATAGGTTGCTATTGGCAGAAGAATTACTGAAACTGCTTTGTACGATTTTCAAGAAAATATAATAATAGCTTCGGATGAAAAAATCCAGATTTGCGAGTTTTCACGTGCCTTTGATGGTGTTTTTCATGATTGCTGGATTTTCAAACTAGAACAATATGATGTAAGGGATATGACCTTGAATTTAATGAAATCATACTCAAGTAGCCGAGGCTTATCATCAAAAACACTCAGAGCCAATCTATTATAGTTAATGAAGGGTTTCTCAAGGCTTGATTCTGGGAAATATGTTATTTTTTAATATATGCTGATGATCTCATCAACTTTACGATATCTTTACGACCAAAACGTGTCTGAAGACTGTATCGAGGAGAAATACATTCGTATAAGAAAATGAATATTTCGAAATGGAATATTCAACTCTCTCAACTACCTACACCGTTAGTTCTGGTAAATGCCTGCCGGCATCCTGGCTAATACCACGCGGGATATTGAATTATCTCCGACAGGCATTTATATAATATTCCTCACAGAAGTATATTGCATTCAGCAGCAGGACCATGCTAAAATTATTCCAGTACATCCCCTACAGACCGGTTTTGGGGTATTACCTTTCATCAGTGCAGAATAGTGCCTGGGGCTCGAATAATTTTAACCCCCTCATGCACCCTCCCGGGTTGAGTGATGAAATCTATATATACAAATATACAAATAAAGATTTTATCGAGTGGGCATGATATAAATCAAAATTGAAATATATATTGTTGACCACAGTCCTCGCATGTGATGCTATATACTCCTTGGTTTTCTAGGGAAATTCTCTCTTTCGGTCTGGGCAGCCAACTGGATATCGTTTTGTGCGGTTTGTAGGTTGTCCGGATGTTTTTACGTCTTAGTACGTTTTTACGTCTTAGTGTGACCGACAAAATCGGGAGAATACTAGGAGTGCCTAGAAGATGACAGTACTACCAACTGTCGAAAGCGCTCGCAGATAATTAATAGAAGATGATTTCACACAAAAATCAATATACAGGGTTTGCAAAACTGTTGGGCTGACTCTGAACAACATCAATGATGTTGAAGGTTTGTAAAGTCGGTTGAATTATTAAATAAAACGTTCAACAGGAAATTTCTTGAAAATGAATCAGCCAATTTCGTTGTAATGCCGTTTAACAATAATTTTGGTGATACGTTCCACATTGAATCTTTCATCGAGTGATGTAACTTCAGAAATAACTGAATATAACCAGAATTCTCATAATTTTGTAGAAAAAATTGTCGTGAATATTAATTGATCATTCTATTTACATAATTTCTTGAATGAAAAAAATATTACTTCTTGTTAAATTGAACGTCATTCATTTGAAAGGCAGTAATAATTCATCATTAACTATTTCAGATGAAAATTGTGTAATCCGTTCACGATTGTTATGAAACTGTGCCAAAAGTTGATGCTTTTGATAAATAATGAAAGTTGTGTACGTCAAGTTCCGACCAGAACCATTTGAATAATTATTGGAACTTAGGTTTGGCGAGATAATAATGACTACCTTATCACCTGACCTAAAAAAGATTTTCACTTGTTTTAACGAACAGCGTGGCAGTCATTCTGTAGCAAAGATGCAGTGAACAGTAGAAACTTCTGGATGAGCAAACACAACCTTAAACTAGACTACTGCTATATAGAGAAACTGCTGACTTGGCAATAGTGCTAACACCTCCTTAAGGCGCGCCTCCATCTATAATGAATGACCTGTAACGTAACCGCGAGCTAAGTATATTAACACGAAGTATAGTTGCACGTAATCCGTAACTACTTTGACATGCATAACCGTTACAAGCTGAAAAACCATTTCATGATTAAAATTATAAATTGTAGGTTTTGTACCCTTTATTCCATTTCTTTACTTTCAATAAAAAATAAATGTATTCAATGATATTTTTTAATAAAAAGATTAATTCATAATTTATTTGTTTTTTTTTCATCATGTAAGAAGTTATAAATATTAATTGGGTTAAAATTCAAATATAATTCCTATATTTTCATTAACAATTCTGCAATTACATGGGCAGGTAAGTGTTGTTAAATAAATTAATACTGAATAAAAAGTGGATAAGTTAGGAAAAAAATGATGAAATATAATATAATAGTTAATAAAAATTGACAAATATTTATAATCATTGATTTATCGATAGTTCATCAACTATATATGGCGCGTTTTCGACCGGAGGCACCGGTTGACCTGAAGTGATGCTGTGACCGCGTGCTCTCCGCCCTCTATCTCGAAAACGGTTCACCGTATAAAAAATTTTTTCAAACAAAATTTGTAGAGAATTTTGTATTCTACAATATTGATAATAAATACAAATAGCAAAAAACCCATAGGAAATGAGATATTTCCAAAAAAGCGCAAAAAACCGATTTTTGTGACCTTTGACCTTGAAATTTAATAGTTGCTTACATCCTACCATATGTAGGTTTTGAGACAACTTTTAGGGTGTCAATATACAAGTATTTACAGACTTACAGCTGGGTATCTCGAATTCCGAGGTGAACTTACTATAATGACTGGACTAAAACATTGTTTTGTAATTCGCAATCTCCGTAATTTTATTCCATTGAGTATATTGAAGAGCTTTTACTATGCTTATATTCAATCTTCACCCAGTTATTGCTTGATCAACTTTGGTTACTGTACAAGAATAAACGAACTGCTAATAGCTCAAAATAAATAGTGAGAACAACGTATTTAAAAAAAAATGAACTCATGTAGGGAGCTGTTTACCGTTTTGGATATTTAAAGCATTATTTCACTATATATATATGTATATATTCGGAAAACGAATCCACATGTTTCTAGAAATGATATGAAATCTAGAAAGGTTAATGCAGTCAAGCTGCTGGGAATGATCAAAGAGTACTTATCTATTTATTTTTTGATTTTCATGGAATTATTTTCCAGCAGCTTGTCAAAACTCATCACGACAAATTTCAATCTAGAGATAATCTTCGGTTCGCCACCGGATGTACGTTAAGATCCAACTATAATTTTATTGTCCCCCACCATAAATTGAAGAAAGAAGCAAACGGCCCTCTAATTATGCCCATCAAACTATTCAACAAACTACCTATCTCTCTTAAACAGCTATCAAACCTGCATGCCTTTAAAGAAAATGTTAAAAAACTATTACATGACAATACATTTTATTTCCTCAATGAATACTTCCAAACTGATTTGGAAATATTAATCACTTGATTGCAACAGTTTCGATGTATATGTGTGATTGATGACTTGTTTACTTTATGGTTATTCATGATCACTTCAATGAAATTATTAAAATTACTTGTGTCTAAATACAACTGCTAGATTTTATTTATACGACCGGTTTCGGGTTTGACCCTTTTATCAAGTTTCGATTGCCCTATTTTCAAGGGATCCATTTAATTTTCGATATATCATCGTATTTTCATTATTGATTCTAACGGAAAATGGAACTCCCTGTACATCTGAAATTATTTTGAAATGTGCCCTACCCTGTGCCCTAACTCTTATATCTGTATTCAGGATATATCGAGCAAATACGTTTTGGAAATATGTATTGGAACCATTAAATTATTGAATTACAAACTTTCATCTAAGGTTACCTTTCCTTGATTGAAAGCTGCAGCTTTTCAAATACGTGTTTTTTACGGCGATCATTTGAAAAGGCATGATAACTGAAGTGACATTTTTTTGATAGTATTGATCTCAGAGAGTGGAAAGCGCATAATTATATCAAGGATTTTAATAACGGAATGATTTGATTTAGAAGAAGTATCTGTATAAAGGTTTTGGAAATCGAAAGAAGATATTTTTCTCTCTTCTCTCCTTCAATTTTATCACGAACCAAGAAATCTAAGAGATATACAATTCTACTAATAGAAGTCATGTTATTTTCATTCTTCATGTTCATGGAGTCTTAATGTATGACATGGTATATTCTGTATGGCATTTTGTTACTAGAAATAATTTTGTTACGGAAAATTTATCTAAATAATTTCAACAAGAAGAAAGAGAGTGACTAATAGAACTATTAAATCATAATCTTTGTAATCGTCACTTAGTACAAGAAAGTCTATCAGTGTCAGTTTCGATATCAAGGATGTCAATAAATGGATTAGGTCACCATTTTTCCCTCCAAGAAACATATCAAAAACAGCATTTAGTTTTTTCACAACTAGTAAAGCAATTTTAGATGAACACATATCGCAAAATGTATGATTTTTAAATTCTAATTTACTAATGAAGAAAAGAGAATTGAAACTCTGTTTTTCACCACTTTTATTTGTAACTAACGTTTCTGCAGTTTCGTCCTATAAGAACATTTTCAAAATTATACATTAAACTAAAAATGATTGATTACACAAGCCCTTATATAATAGGTAATAATAGAGGTACTTAGCTTATTTGAGTTTATGAATTTTCTTTACTTGTGACAATGTGGATATGCTAATTTGAAAACCTGTGAGTAAACTATATTGATTTGATCATTTAACAGGTTGCACCCGCAATGTTTGTGAATTTCCAAGGATTCCAAATAATTGAGTTTGCAACCCTTCCTTGCATAGTACACAATTTGT